CCTTCAAATTTTTCTGATTTAGGTATTTCAAATAATTGTTTCAACAGAAGATCCCAGTAATAGTATCGATACAAGCAGATTATTCCAAGAAAGGGATATTAAAAATAAATATATAAAACTTCACTTCACGATAACCGATTTATGCACTTTGTGTTATTCATTATTCAATTACGCAAACACTCTGCCTTCTTAATTCTCAAATTATATTGTAAAATACTGTATAATTAAAAACACTTAAATTAATGAAATCTTTAGAAAATACTCTACGTCAAGTTGTAAGCAATTTAATGAAATATTCTGCCTTAGCTGAATAATGCAAATTTTCCCTACCTTAATTACATTTTGAACACATGAATTCATTCGACATTCAGCATTTGTCAAATTAATTTCGAAATCTGATTAAATTTGTAATATTTCCTGTATTACTAAGTAATAAAGCACGAATTTCCTACAGGGAATAACTTCAAATGACACTCAAAAGCTACTTGTTTTAATAATGCAAAATCATCGAGATACAGGCATTTGTTTCCCATTTCTTGATACGTAAAATATTATCGCTTTTTAATAATGGTAAATATTTTATGGTTCTTAAATGATTATTCAAGTAATAATATACAGGGTGTCCCACGATTAGTGCCGTTTGGTATATTTACTGAACGGTAAGGTGATAGGACAAGAATGTACAGAGACTTTTACCATAATTTTTTATGGAGAATGTCACTGTGAAAAAATAATCATATATCTACTCTACTATGCGTATTTTTTAGCGACCTTATTCTTTATAAAACGTGTGAACCATTCTATCTCTTGTATTTCAAAAGGATAAAACTTATCCAAAAAGCTATTTGAATCTATCCAAAATTATTTGAAATATTTTTGTTAATTTCTAATACCATAGATTATCAGTATTATACAAGGTGAGAACATTAAACGTTCGAAAGCAATGAAAATTAAATGTAAGAAATACATGTGGTATTTAGCAAAAAACATTTGGTTTATTATCCTCGTTTAATTACTATCAAAAATATTTGGCAAAAATAGATCTAAATACTTTTTCTATCATGCAGGATGTTCCGCAACTGGTGGTGTAACCGTAAAAATTCTACATGAAAAAATAAACTAAAAATATACGATAAAATTTTTTTCATAAGAAGCTTAGTTTTTGAGATAATTAAATTTGAATATTCGTCAAGTACTTGTGCATTTAACTATCGCTTAGTTTTATGTTTGTGCTAATAAGCGAAGCCAATGTCATGATAAGTACTGATGATACATTTATTAACGATTTCCATCATTTAAATTTATAATACTCAACGAGTTATTCAAAGTGACGTCCTTGTTAACGCATACAAATTCTTGTTCTTTAAATATGAGAGTCATGGACTGATTATACGGTATTTTGACGCTTTAATTGCTTGAAAGCCTATACCATTCTTTCTTATAGCTGTAGAAAATTATCTTCTGACATTAGCAGAAGCAACAGTTTGTGGCGAATCTTTAAATTCTGTTTTTGTGAAAACAAAGGTTTTTATGAAAAATTTTATTGTATATTTTCAATTTATTTTTCCATGTAAAATTACCCCCTTTATGGTTGTACCACTAGTTACGCAACACTCTATATATCTTTTGTGTGCTCATAAATGGTGCTCTATTTGCTATCACAAATCATTCTTCCAGTCTTTCCAAATGTAGCACCGTTTAAATAGCCCGCGTGAAGTACATAAGTGTGAAGTTGCGTGAGATGAGCGAGCGTGAACGCATTATATACCGGCGGAAAACGCGGTAGTAATTTTCTTCACTTAGGGTAACTGTCTATTTGAGAGTAAATCTATCGCGAGTTGCTCTCGAAAGTCAAATTTATCAATGTATGCGACATTGAGAGTGCAGGAGAAGAGCTGGACACATAATTTGAGAGTACTCTTAAGAGCAACTATCGTAGAAAACTCTCAGATTGACTTTAGGGTAAGAAGAATGAATGCGAATAACCAAGAATTGTTTTTACAAACCAATGCATCCTCAATCGCCACATTTCAATAAAGATCCAATTTCAGATCTCAAAGAATTCCAATATCAGATTTCAAAGCAAACTAACCTATACAATATTTAGTATTTCAAAGGCATCAATTAAGATACCATCCCATACTGTATAAAAAAAATCGAGTTTGTTTTTTACATTTTCTTAAAGTTTCAAGTGGGTAGAATATTACGTTCGAAGCGATATATCGAATTTCAAACACCTGGCGAAGTTACGGCGATGGATAGGGAGACGGGTCGTGTCAGATAGGAAGGTCTCACTGACCGGATTTGAAAGGGAGAGCAAAGTCGAACAATGCTTTGAAGGACTACGTTCACAAACATCGTTTTCCTCAAGTTGTTCAAGATGCGGTTCATTCCAGTTTACGAGGATCTCAGTTCGGACAAGCTGTTAAAACGATGTGAAGGTGGACGCATGCAAAATAACAAGAGCTTGAATTCCGTTATTTGGTCGATAACTCCTAAAACGACGTTCTGAGTGAAAAATACGATCGATATTGTTGCATATAGGTACAGGAGGCCCACGGAACTGGAAGAATCTGTATCTTCCAAACTAATTTTAATAATTTTATGTGTTTACATATAATTCAGCAAACTTTTAACTGTAATAACTTCTAAACTAATAACTCTAGGGTATAAGTATGTTGATATTTTTTTATAGAGATTAAAAAGTTGTATCGACTGTTCCAGTCAAAACTATAGGGTTCCATTTGAAAAACAGGTGCAACAGCATTTTCCAGGTGCACCAATGGATGAAAGTGCATAAAATTATTTCGAGATTATGCTCTATTGGGTACTATTTACCGTTGACTTATAGCATTTTTTTTCTATTTCTAACCGTTTGGAAGATACAGCTTGTTCCAATTGCATGAGACACTCTGTACAGCTGGTAGCACATTCAATGACAGCTACAATAGTATTTTATTGATGCAAATGATGCATCTAAATATTTCGACCAAATGTTTACAATTTGTGTGAAATAACGGACGAGTGACGTCAGAGTAACGGCTGCAGGGAGGACAGAGGAGAGTAGCAAAACAAAACAGTTCGACAACTGCTTAGATCGATGCAAAAAGAGGCAGCCGGCAGTTTTTTTTCTCGTGGCAGAAGAATTACTATAATATGGACCCGGAATAGCTGACTGAAGGTATTATCAAAGAAAAATATTATCTTAAAACTTGTTTTGCATTTTTCTCGAAAGTACATTTTTTGACCTGGACGCCATAAAATCTCCGGAACTACTCAACCAATAGTCTTTGAACTTTATTAAAATAGATATATCAATTATTTGAAATTTGATACATGTTTGAAGTTGGCTTTTTCGATGAAAAGAAATATTTTTTTTCAAACAGCGACCATTTCCATAATTATTAAAATGTTTAAAAAGTTGTGCGCTACATTGAAGACAATATATTTTAGTTTATGAATGACCAAAAATTTTTGAGTTCAGATATTTCAGTTCTTCTGGTGGATGACGAATAACTCTGCCACTATGTAACATTTTTTACTTTCTAAAAATTCGAAGTTAAGTTGCCATAAAAAATTCCTAAAAAAAGTTCCTCATATTTGCATTTTTCATACCTACTTGGAAATAAATTATACTATTTTTATCTCCCTTTTTTCCATATTTCAAAATTAATGTCACTTCCTATTACTAACATCAAAATTTATTTACTTAAGAGCAACAACTTTAGAATTTAATTTACTATAATTTCAATGAAGTACAGTTGTCCAATATCTTAAGTAAATATTTAAACTTTAAAATTAACAGAATATTTGATGTTTTGAAAACATAAATTAAACAGAACTGTTCATTTTTCAACTAAAAGTTTAATAAACGCTTTCAACACATCCTTTTAAATTTTATCATCTATATCTTTGTCATCTATGTATTATTATTTGTGCAAATGACTTGTAAGATGAAAACTACGTTATAGTATAATCTGATAATAACTGACCGTCTAATTTTGTACAAACAATAAATTGCACATTTGTGTTAGGACGCAAATAATACGAATAACACTTATTTTATTTGAATGAAAATTCTAGATAATCCTCGTTGTAAACTGTATTTTTAGACTCTCCACCTTTAATTTTTTAATCATCCTTAATTGTTACTTCCATTACTTCCGATCAACACAGCGCACTGTTTGTAAACATTTTTCTGGAATGGCGCGCGGCCGAAGCGAGCAAAACCAAAGGCGAGCCGAGTCAAAGCATTGGTACGTATGCGCGGAGAAACGTAGAGGAACCGGGATACCGAACTCGTGCCAGACAAGGAAGAGTACGCAGAAGAAGGGAGGGGCAGGAAACGTGGTGAGACGTAGTGATGGAACTAATTCAATTATCATTTCAGAATACAATAAATCTGTATACCTTTAGGAATCGCTGAATGCTCTCAAAGAAGAATTTCAAGTAAAAAGGTTTCATCTCTTCTGGCTAATGCGTATTAGTTACATTAATCTTATATTTAACTGCATATTAAATTCTAATATCAAAGATATAGCGTATCAATCAGTTGATATTATTTGAAGCACGTTGTTATTCCAACAGTCATAAGTGTGTTATGTACTGTGAAATCTGATATAAAAGTTATGCTATTCATAATTATAAGAGTTTCGTTGTATTGTAATTAATAAATGTAATTCATATTAGAGTGTACGTCTTTTAACATACTGCTGTGAGAGTGTTTAAGTGATATCGTATTTCTATTACGATACTATTACGTAGAGGATTAAGCGTTTAGAAAGATTTGGTGAATTCTTTTAAGTATAATTCTATTTCATTTGATTCGACGTGACTTGAGTATATTTTTGAACATCCACGACAACTGAAAATTTGTCGCGAAATTTGTGTTGCCGCTTGCTCACGAGTGCGTCGTTCCCATCGCTAGTGGCAAAACGTTACTCGGGGTGGTCGGATCGGCAAAAAGCACGGCAGATCGATGAGTATTGAGAAAGATATACCTGGGATCGGGTAAAATGATCTTCTTACTGGCGCGGGCAGCCGGTGTGCATTTACTCTTTTCCATGGCCATCAGGTAGCTGACGTCGGCCAGCACCGCCTCGAGGTCCGCCATTTTCTTCGGTGATCTCTAAATCTCTTGACGTGAACACGGCTCACCCTGGAGCTGTTTCCTCGACGAAACTTGGTTTACTGCTGCGGACGCGTCGTTCTCACTGTCGCGACGCCGGGGACGACGCGGCCGACGCCGACATTGTGATAGAGCGACCGACGTGTACCGAAGTTCGCGAGTCTGACAGCTCCGTCAGGGATCTGCGCGCAATTTCCAGCGAGGGGACTTCGACTCCCCGAGCTCTATACGAGGTTAACGACACTCCCTCAGAACACAACACTCTCACCCGCGCAACTGTTTACCGTTCACGCGGGCGATACAACGTCGATCTTCGACCTGCTCATCGCAAGTCTCTCAGCCGAGAACGAATACGGAACGTGTAGCGAACGCGGACTCGCATGCGATCATTCACTTCAGACGCGCACAAACGTCCCCAAAACCTACTCCTTACCGACTGACAGCCACCGAGCTCCGAAACCTCGAACTCACGCGCACTTGCGCGCTGATTGGTGGATGGCTTTCTGTTCGTTCAACGTTTCCTCGAGAACCTGTCTAGCGACGTCTATCGCATAAACAACGAACGAATTTCTTTTACTTACCAGGTTTTTTTATCAACACACAGCTTTTCCTTTTTCACTGATAATATTACATTTTCCCCACGATTTCTTGCATTTGCAACTAAGCTACCGTTAATTCGATTTTTTGTAAAGACGTAGTTGCTTGAGATGCTCACTTGACGAACTGCCAAATGTTATTCGTTATTTGTAAATAAGCGTTCTATTACATTTAATTCGTAATTAAATATAGAAGTAATAAAACGTAATTTGTCATAAATGTTAATAGAAATTTAAAATATACTGTTTTCACTGAGACAAAACATTACATTGTAAGTGCATCGCCATCTATGTTGCTGGATTCGTATTACATTAATGACGTACAATGTATTTTATTGCTATAAAGTGCAGCATAATTTGAGGGAGGAATATTCGGAACAAACAAAAATACTATTTAGTTTCGAGAGTAGAATTATTACGAATGCTAAGCTTAACATATGAAATGTTTTGATTTTTATTTACTACACATTTATTGCGAAATTAACAGGCCTGCTAATAAAATGTTGGACTACTTGTGATATGATAAAACATGAAATGATTAAAGCAACGTTAGGAGGAAAACAATAATAAAGGCAGTCTAAATACAACAAATACAACGTAGAGAAGAATTGTCACTGTTAGTTTATGCTTTCATATAGTTTTTAAACATGTGATACTTAAAAAGCAATAATATATCAGAAACGTAGAAAAATATGATGAATTTCTTCAAATTAATATATTGTTTACATCAACGTAAATAATTTTATTTTAAAATTTCGTAATTTCTATCTGTTACAAGGATTTCGTACCATTTGTTGGAAAATCAGTTTTTTTAAATGGAAAATCAGTTTCAATATTACAAACATTTAATATTAAAATGGGGACCACAGGCAAAGTATAAAGTCCTTTCAATACTTCGTTTGTGAACAGCTTTTATAGTTGTCGATGATGTAATGGATACAATTGCAGGTATGTATATCACATCTATGATAAAAGTATGTGCATGTAAGTGTAATAGTGAAATAAAATAATACAATCTGAGTTTTTGTCATCTGTAGTTTCTATAGATAAATCCACAAATTCTAGATACTTAATTATTAAGATATAATTATTTAAGATTTACGTATCTAATATTGATAAGAA